GACACGCCAGTGCAGCAAGTTAGTGACTTTACGTACTTAGGTACAATTATTTCCAGCGACGGTACTATCGACCGTGAGCTGTCAGCTAGGATTCAGAAAGCTTCCGGAGCCTTCAATCAACTGAGTAATATATGGAAAAACCGCAACATCCAGTCTTATACAAAGATCAGGATTTATAAGGCAGCGGTTTTGACAATATTGTTATATGGTAGTGAGGTTTGGAACACAACCAAAAAGCAGCTACATCGCTTTGAGGTGTTCCATCAGCGCTGCTTGAGGAGAATACTTAGGATAAGATGGCTCGATCGGGTTAGAAACACTGAAGTGCTGGAGCGTGCAAAGATAAATCCAGTAGAGACGTACATAGGAGCAAACCGCCTGCGTTGGTTTGGCCATGTCACCAGAATGCCAGACACTAGGCTTCCTAAGTACCTGCTTAACTGGACCCCTGCCCATGGGAGAAGATCTAGGGGCCGTCCAAGAAAGAACTGGAGGAAATGTTTGCTGGAAGATGCTGCATCGTTTGCAGGAAACACTGACATAGACCTAGAAGGAGCGAGCGAGATGGCTAGTGACCGCAAACTTTGGAGGGAGATGATACGTCACAAACGGGAGTTCATTGGTGCAGGCCACTCGAATGATTGAGGAGACCTAATCAAGTACAAGTAAGTACTTTATTCTTGTTTAGCTGAAATAGCGCATCATACCTAGACATTTTTCCTGTTCGATTTCTGTAACAAAGAGGGTTATTGTATAATTGTCTGTGTAAATAACCGAATCACAGAAAGATCATACAAATAAAAGTTGTGAATAAACGGGATATATTGGTTAATATAATGAAAATCTAAAAAGCCCAATCAGAGGTCACATTATATCATTATACTGCGAACGAATCAAAAACGGATAAATTATTAAATTACATTATTGTTTTTATAGCTTTATCATCTCATTGAGATTATTTTCATCCGATGTACTTGTAGGAAGTTTCTGACACATTGCCCATCCGTAGAGGTTGTTAGCATCGATGTATCCGAAGTAGCTTTCAGGCAGTTCAGGATTATAATCTGGGAGATTATAGTTATTCGCCTTTGCATACCGATGCGTGATTGTGCTTATACCTCCTCGAATAGCCTGCTCAATGAAAGTATACATATCATGAGGATCACTAAATAATTCTAACTCAACTTTAGTATATTTAAAGCCTGCATCCCATGTAAGACCTGTAGCGGTATAGTAATGAACAGGATCTAGATTATATGATGTTAAACACTCTGTCATATACTGATGCAGCACCGAATCCAGGAGAACAACGTCAGAGGAAATGTAGAGGTGAACCCATTGAGACTCTTCAGATCGAACTCCTTCCAGACTTTCTGTGCGTGAAGTAGTAACGGTAGCAGGACAACTTCCATTCCTCGCGTGGTATAGGTTACATCTGTAATTAATGTTGTTTTTCTGTTCCGATCGTTGTAGTCCTCCTCTGTACAGGCCCCTTTTAATTGGCGAGGTCGTTATAGAAGGCAGCGATGGGCGGTAACTCCGTCTCCTCAAAGACTTCGAAGGATGTAATATGCGAATAGGGATACACTCCTTTACGTAGGAGGAGCTCCAGCTTAACAGGATCCACTACACCATACTTTAGTCGAAGGAATCGTTGGACTGGTTCGAATTAGGCTCCTGGGCCTGACGAACGGAGATTAGCTACAAGTTTCTCCAATGATGAGTTAAGATGAGCATATGAATAAATGAATCTGAACTTCTTGGTCATGAATGATTAGATTTTTAAAACTGATAACTAATATACAAATATCTTAAATACGGCATACGCTGATTATAATTCTAACGTGTGTGATAGGCGTAGGGAAACTGACACTTGTCATGACCCGTTTCAATAAATGCTTCCTGTAGTAATCTGGTCTGGAACGGTTGAATTTCTTAATCTTTCCCAAACCAAGCATGACTTCCAATGCTGCGACGAGGTTCCACTCCAGACATATTCCTAATTTTGAGAAGCGAGTGTGTCTTATGAGCTATTGCTGCAGGAAGTTCCATCCAACTGCTTTCCGCTAGGGGTTGTATCTGACGAGATATCTCATTCAAAATCAAATTAAAGGGAGAATGGCTGTCAATCTTATAATTATAATAATTATCTAACCTAAATAAGAGAGCTAAAGAAATAACAAATTTTATTCTTACTTGGTCATTTTGACAGAAACACTGTTTACATCAATCACAGCCAATCCGCTTCCATTTTTGATTAGTCTATCAATCCTCTCTGAATCCGAAGCGAAAGTGCTTTTCCAACTCAACATAGCCTTCCATATCCTGATCCTCAGCAACTTTCACAACTGGTTCAGGTTTCTTGAAAGTACTGCATAAAATGGGATTAAAGTCTTCTTTCGTCTCCGGTAGTATCATCATGCATGATGCAACATCAAATAAATAAAAATAAAAATACTATCTTCCCTATGATAATTATTACTTAACTGTAGTAATTTTATATTCGCATAATGAAAGGAAAAGATATATCAAAATCATATTAACTTACCCTCGATTCTGCATCTATGTATAGCCTTCCATGTCCTGATCCTCAGCCACTTTCACAACTTTCGTTGCATGACATAATGAAGTTCTTGATGGTGGCTACTTTTGTTCCCTCATTGTAGTGGCTGTTACTGTTAGCGTGAAGTTTCGAAGCGTGAATTACAGTCAATCAAAACTATACTAGTGACGAACCGGCCACGTTACAGTGTTATTCGGCAGCGGTAATTTTATAAACTTTACCTAACAAGCCACTCGAAGAACTGCCCGTAACGGGGCAAACGATCACCAAAGACCATTGCGTCACGTGATACCATGACATGGCAACCCACGTGGTATCGCGCGGAACAATCTCAACTATAACCTCCTTAACTAATGTTCCCGCATAACACGTCTCCTACTCCGCAAAACCATCTAAAACCTATTGCTAAATCTACCTACTTACACTCCGTCCCAACGGTTTTTCTTACATTTATACTAGAATATTCTAAAAGATTTAAAAAGCCTAAACCCTGCTGTGAACAGCCTACATATTACACTAGTGTGATCTTATTTTTCTGCTTCTTTCTGTAAAACTTGTGGTGTATAAGTGTTCCCTGCTCGTCGATCTTGATCTGGGTGTCGAGGAATGCGATGAAATCCTGACGGCTTTCAGGATAGTCGAATTCCCACTTGAGTAACTGGTCTGGGTCCTCGTTTGAGATGGACTGCACTAACCTCAGAGCTTCTTCTTTGGAGCTATAGCTAGACTCCCGGCATCATCCACATATCTCCGGTAGAATGAGACGTGTAGATAAGTATAAATCGATCTTCTCTCGAACATATATACTCGCACTATCGCTCCAATTGGTGATGGTTGGCATCCCATGAAGAGACCAATTTTATGGAGGTAGAGTCTTGACTCTTGAGTGATATGTAAAGTATGAGTTGGTGAAGACGAATTCAAGGATCATGTGGATGTGCGTGAGTGATAGACCCCAGGTGTCAAGGTCTTCCCAATGTTCTTCAGTGAGTGTAACGAGGTATTGAATGCAGCCACTGATGTTGATGTTTGTGTACAGTGCTGTGACGTCAGCCATGTGAAGAATGAGAGACCTGCGAGTTGTTGCTGTGACATGTTTTGAAGTTCTTATAGGTGAGTGTGTATGTTACTCAGGTGAGATGGAACATGATTAAGCAGAGGAGACAAACAATCCAAGTAAGCTTCTCAGAAGGGGAATTTATACAAGACAAAATTGGACGTATTTTACAATTAGAAATAATATCTACATCTGAAACTTAAACATTACAATCAAATTTATAGGTTTACGCAAGATCCGCAAAGAAATTCTTTGTCTTTACCTTGAAGAGAAACGAATCTGTATCTGAAACAGGGTTTGGTGTTACTCTTAAACGTTAATAAACGTTAATTTGAATTATTAAGTCTATAAACTTGATTGATGTTATAATTAACTTTAGCAACCTGCAACAAGTGTGTAAAAGTATTTACCGGTGAAGCACAGCTGCACGTCGGGGCATTTCTTTTTGAACACGTCAACACGTCGTACCAAAACTGATACATTTTAACTTTAGCCAGTTTCATAATTGTGGCTCCTAGATAAATGGGTTTATCCAGCACAACTTCAGTTCTGGCTAATTCCAGCCCGACCATATCGTTGTCGAATATCACGAAAATTTTGTGCTTTACCTGACTCAGTTTCGAAGCTTTTTCGGCACCAAACCGCAGTTCTTTTGCCCGTTGAGTGGTGTATGAAGATCATATTAGCCGTGATTTCGATCTTTTCCGGCATTGGAGGGAAATTGCTGAAATAGTCATGCCACTCCTTAGGGAATGATGCGTCTGCTTCTATAAAATAAATAAATAAATACCTATTTCTATTGACAACACAAATGATTTGAAATTGTTGGTTGTAAATATGCAACGGTTAAAAAATGAAAAATCTCCTGTTTTGGGCTTCCAAAGTTCCTTATATTATTGCTTCCCAACGTCCCTTATTCGAAGTTGTCCTCTTAGTTTCATCGTGATGACTGCAAGGTTGTACCTCCTTCTCTCCTAATCGATGTTTGACAGTGTTTAAAAGGCAAGCCTTGACATCCTTTTTTTGCCAAAGACCACATACTTGTAAGATTTATACTAGTCCAGATTTGTAAATATTCTTTTCGTATTTACCCAAAATCTGTATCCATTGCAATGCTTATATATTATAGGATAAAATCTTACAACGATTTCTTCTTCTCTCCTTGCTCTTTTTACTGCTTGTAGTTAGGTCAAAGGTTCCCGATCTTAGAACCTCTGAGAGATGTGTTGCCAATCTCAGTTGGACGGTCAGTTTGCTGGGATGAATGATATTTAACGTCTTAACTTGTATTAGTATTACTATTCAAATATAAATCTATTGTTTTTAATTAAAAAATTATATTGTTTTTTACAACAATATTATTATTTTTTAAAATGCAGTTCAAAACATAGCCAAACCCTCCGCAACATCTTCGTCGTTATCCCATGGGATAAGCCCACATGTGTAGCAGTGGTAAAAATCTGCATCCGTAACCATCATCTGACCAGATTTCTCTCCTTGTTCGAGTTCAACTTTGAAGGAGTGCTTCGGACTAAGGAAGCCCTCCACCGGATCATAACCCGTCATGTAGATGTTCTTATTGCATATGACCCGGATGTACTCGCCGTTAGCATTGTTCGGGACAACAACAGATAATGAAATGAGGCCCCGATCGTAGAATGTAATCTTCTTTGGATACGCAAAATCGGTGTCGTGGAAAAAGGTAATCCAAGAAAGGTGGCATTATGTTAAAGCATAATAAAAACGTTGCAAATGTGATACATGTTCTCTTAGCTTTAGATTTATATAATAGTAGTATTATTACTAGAGTTTCAATAGTTAAAGAGCTGATTAGCTTTAGATTCCTATATTATACTAGAGTTTCAATAGTTAAAGAGGTTGCTTCCTTCTAAAATCGTTCTGTTGTATGAACAAATGTTACATGTGATATAATAATTTACAACAATATGAATATTTTAAAAAGTACACCTGTCGTTGAATGTTATCCACTCTAAAGAGGGGCTGCATATCATCTACACTTTGCGTATGGTCCCCTTCTGGATCCCCACACAACCCGACAGCTCAATAGAAACCAGAGGGGCTCCCACAAGGAATTCTCCTGTAGCTGTTATACTATTGCCGCGTAACACCACGTTCGACAGGTTCGGAAACCGTTTGCTAACCGAAGCTAGCCACCATTCCGGTACGGGACCGGTGCACCGCAACTCTGTTACAGTTGACGGAAGTTGCAGAAAACTGTTCAAGGTTTGGCTTTTCTCACCGGCTTCAAATTCTATCTCTAAATTAAGCAGATTAGGACATTTAGATGCCAACAGCAATGATTCGTGCAGGTTACTGGTAGTTCGGAAACCTTATAGTTAAAAAACTATAAGTCCCTTATTCGAACTTTCGAGGTTGTCCCCTTAGCTTAGTGCATCGTGACGATTGCGTGGTAATTGTACCTCCTTCTCTCCTTGCTCATTTTACTGCTTGTAGTTAGGTCAAAGGTTCCCGATCTTACAACCTCTGAGAGATCTGTTGCCGATCTCAGTTGGACGGTCAGTTTGCTGGGATGAATGTTAATTAACGTTTTAACTTGTATTAGTATTACTATTCAATTATAAATCTATATATCGAATACATTGCATGATTGTAGCCTCTGTCATCAGAGCCACTGCTCTTTCTACAGCTTGCTGATGACAGGGTTGTGACGTATCAATGCTATCGTCTAAACCTAGCACGTCTAAAATACCGGACATAGGATGTACTGAAGTCTCTGAATCATAGTTAGTTATGTCAAACTTGGCTTGTACAGGACACTTTCTACAGCTTGCTGATGACAGGGATATGACGTCACCAGGGACATGTCTCAAGGTACTTATCGAACTACTTAGGATCTGAAGGATGGGTCTTTATAATCGATGGTACAAGAACAGCAACACAATTCCTCACGGGACATTGTGAATTAAACTATCACATCAATAAGTACAAGCCGACAACTGTCCCTAAAACCTGTCCACACTGTCTCATGGAAGAGGAGACAATGAACCACTTTATTGGTCAGTGCCCGAAATGGTCTTACCAGCGAGGAGGATACTTTGACTCCTTCTACCTCAGTGTGACAGATATAGTGGACAAGTTCTCATTACCAAGGATCATCGGCTTTATACAAGCAACAAAACGTTTTACCAAATGTGGAGAGGACAAGGCTTAACCTTGCTTTCTTCATAGATTAACTTTACCGGGGTAAGCACAGGGCTCCAATGCTCTATCTTATAGTGGTTTTGATCTATTCCTTAGTAGTAAAGACCACTGCCCCCTACGAAGAAGAAGAATCGATGGTATGGTAACAGCAGCCCAATTGATGTCTTCTCGATTATACATTTCTATTATATACGTTCCTCTTTGAATCAAGTCCAATTCAATAATATTCGCGTATTAAGTTCTCTTAAATTAGAGCATTCTGCCACTTTAAGCTCCTTAATGATAAGATGACCATCATATCCCGAGAAATCAATATTGTTAACATCTACGAAAAGTTATTATAATTAAGCATATTTAGACAATTATTAATTAGAAATATTTAATGAATTAAAGGAAATTACATTTAGTGACTATATATATATATATAGTCACTATGTAGTCACTATATATATATATTTCATTGCTGAACTTCTACACAATAAAAAGCGGTTTTGACTAGATCCTCGTAATTCTTTGCATCATTTATTTACATCAATTCTGAGAAATTATATCATTAAAGCAACTATAACAAATACGAATCATCGAAATAGTAAAACTCCTTCGCCCTCAGTCCAACCCTCTCTTCTGCCATCCCTCGAGATAGTAAAACTCCTTCTCCCTCAGTCCAACCCTCTCTTCTGCCATCCCTCGACATAGTAAAACTCCTTCTCCCTCAGTCCAACCCTCTCTTCTGCCATCCCTCGAGATAGTAAAACTCCTTCTCCCTCAGTCCAACCCTCTCTTCTGCCATCCCTCGAGATAGTAAAACTCCTTCGCCCTCAGTCCAACCCTCTCTTCTGCCATCCCTCGAGATAGTAAAACTCCTTCGCCCTCAGTCCAACCCCCTCTTCTGCCATCCCTCGAGATAGTAAAACTCCTTCGCCCTCAGTCCAACCCTCTCTTCTGCCATCCCTCGAGATAGTAAAACTCCTTCGCCCTCAGTCCAACCCTCTCTTCTGCCATCCCTCGAGATAGTAAAACTCCTTCTCCCTCAGTCCAACCCTCTCTTCTGCCATCCCTCGAGATAGTAAAACTCCTTCGCCCTCAGTCCAACCCTCTCTTCTGCCATCCCTCGAGATAGTAAAACTCCTTCGCCCTCAGTCCAACCCTCTCTTCTGCCATCCCTCGAGATAGTAAAACTCCTTCGCCCTCAGTCCAACCCCCTCTTCTGCCATCCCTCGAGATAGTAAAACTCCTTCGCCCTCAGTACAACCCCCTCTTCTGCCATCCCTCGAGATAGTAAAACTCCTTCGCCCTCAGTCCAACCCTCTCTTCTGCCATCCCTCGAGATAGTAAAACTCCTTCGCCCTCAGTCCAACCCCCTCTTCTGCCATCCTTCGAGATAGTAAAACTCCTTCGCCCTCAGTCCAACCCCCTCTTCTGCAATCCCTCGAGATAGTAAAACTCCTTCGCCCTCAGTCCAACCCCCTCTTCTGCCATCCCTCGAGATAGCAAAACTCCTTCGCCCTCAGTCCAACCCTCTCTTCTGCCATCCCTCGAGATAGTAAAACTCCTTCGCCCTCAGTCCAACCCACTCTTCTGCCATCCCTCGAGATAGTAAAACTCCTTCGCCCTCAGTCCAACCCTCTCTTCTGCCATCCCTCGAGATAGTAAAACTCCTTCGCCCTCAGTCCAACCCTCTCTTCTGCCATTCCTCGAGATAGTAAAACTCCTTCGCCCTCAGTCCAACCCCCTTTTCTGCCATCCCTCGAGATAGTAAAACTCCTTCGCCCTCAGTCCAACCCCCTCTTCTGCCATCCCTCGAGATAGCAAAACTCCTTCGCCCTCAGTCCAACCCTCTCTTCTGCCATCCCTCGAGATAGTAAAACTCCTTCGCCCTCAGTCCAACCCCCTTTTCTGCCATCCCTCGAGATAGCAAAACTCCTTCGCCCTCAGTCCAACCCACTCTTCTGCCATCCCTCGAGATAGTAAAACTCCTTCGCCCTCAGTCCAACCCTCTCTTCTGCCATTCCTCGAGATAGTAAAACTCCTTCGCCCTCAGTCCAACCCCCTTTTCTGCCATCCCTCGAGATAGTAAAACTCCTTCGCCCTCAGTCCAACCCTCTCTTCTGCCATCCCTCGAGATAGCAAAACTCCTTCGCCCTCAGTCCAACCCCCTCTTCTGCCATCCCTCGAGATAGTAAAACTCCTTCGCCCTCAGTCCAACCCTCTCTTCTGCCATCCCTCGAGATAATTCCTAGCAAGTAGCCTTATCAGCGGAAAGTTTTCTTTTTTCTTCTTCTCCTCTTCTTTCTCCGTCCTCATCTTCTTCAACAGCTGCCCATCTTTTCCAACATCTATCGTAAGTTGGAGTACTTTCGAGTTCACGTAAAATATTTTCTATATAAAATTTCTTACAAATAATTGCAATATTGCTTCTAACTTCATCAGCTAAAAGCAGTCTCCTTAGTTCTGTTATGCTCCTCGACAGGTTATTTGTAAAATGGCAGAATATTTCCCCCTCCTGTTTAAAGTACAAACGTGTTCTCAGGTTCGACTGGGCTACCCTCACCAACTCCCAACGCCCGATGAGACGGTTTGCCTCCTCCTCGTTACATGAGCAGACTTTTGTCACGGCAGTGTACTTGAAGCAGGTGTTTCATACATCAAATGCATACTAGCCCGGGCGTTTATCAGCTTTTTGTAATATCAAGAGACATTTTCTACATTTTTTTAGAGCAGACTTCGGTCAGAAATGTTCTACCCGAAGAATTGTATGGTTAATGATGTAATAGTTTTATCTAGAGTAAAATAGCTATGCAATTATTATATATGATAAAATAGTTAACGTCTAAAAACATTATCGTGAATTATTACATCTAAATAATTAGTTGACGGTTAAATTTACCTTAACGTCAATCTGTACATCCTCCTTGATTGTATTGTAGAGAGGGTGAGAGGTGAAGAGGTTGAAACGGAATGTCCTTAACTATAATAAGTATCCATTTTCATTCTTCACGCGCCTTGCGCAAAGTTCTCTGGTGGCGGGGAAGCGGGGGACAGGTAGGTTGTACTGGGGGAGAAAGGGCTTTCCTGGAAATAGGCTGGAGGTTGGGTTTCCATCCTAATTTCGTAGTTGGCAGCTTGTTCCGCGTAGAACTCGATTTCCACACGAAGGTCTCTTATAGTGCGCTCTGCCCTTCATCCAACTTCCTGTTTAACTTTTAATTTCTTGTATCTGCCCATTGCTCCATCTCGTATAACGAGACAGCATTCATGGATTTCAGCAATGGGGTTGGTGGTGTTACAACATATTTATACCTAAACTAAAACACTAAGAGTGGGGATGTTATTACAAAATAAAACACGGATTTATAATAAATTAAACTAAAATAGTTTGTGTTAATAGATTAAAACTAGTAATATAATTGAATGTTACAAGGAAGGTAGTTTAAGAAAGCTGTTCACGATTTATTCCATATGACTCCTTCTCCGTCTTCTTCTTCTTTAGACTTCCTTTTGCGGGTTCTCGATGTTTTATTTCATGGGGCATGATGGTTCGTTGTGGTTTAAATTTACTACAATAAATTTCATGTTCACTCAAAATGTCACTTCTCATAAATCCTCTAAAACATTTAAGACAATAAAATTTCTAATGATTATTTTTGATCTATTGATGACTTAATAGTTTCGATAAATCTGTTAGTTTTTACCCAGATCCAATGGTTCGTCTTGTGTTTCTCCGAGGTAGTAGCCTCCTGGTTAGCTGGAGTATGGTTAACTGCAGTCTTGTGTTTCTCCGAGGTAGTAGCCTCCTGGTTAGCTGGAGTATGGTTATAACTGCAGTCTTGTGTTTCTCCGAGGTAGTAGCCTCCTGTTTAGCTGGAGTATGGTTAACTGCAGTTACCATGGTAACTAATGTTGTTACCAGTCTTGTGTTTCTCCGAGGTAGTAGCCTCCTGTTTAGCTGGAGTATGGTTAACTGCAGTCTTGTGTTTCTCCGAGGTAGTAGCCTCCTGGTTAGCTGGAGTATGGTTATAATTGCAGTCTTGTGTTTCTCCGAGGTAGTAGCCTCCTGTTTAGCTGGAGTATGGTTAACTGCAGTTACCATGGTAACTAATGTTGTTACCAGTCTTGTGTTTCTCCGAGGTAGTAGCCTCCTGGTTAGCTGGAGTATGATTAACTGCAGTCTTGTGTTTCTCCGGGGTAGTAGCCTCCTGGTTAGCTGGAGTATGGTTAACTGCAGTCTTGTGTTTCTCCGAGGTAGTAGCCTCCTGTTTAGCTGGAGTATGGTTAACTGCAGTCTTGTGTTTCTCCGAGGTAGTAGCCTCCTGGTTAGCTGGAGTATGGTTATAACTGCAGTCTTGTGTTTCTCCGAGGTAGAAGCCTCCTGTTTAGCTGGAGTATGGTTAACTGCAGTTACCATGGTAACTAATGTTGTTACCAGTCTTGTGTTTCTCCGAGGTAGTAGCCTCCTGTTTAGCTGGAGTGTGGTTAACTGCAGTCTTGTGTTTCTCCGAGGTAGTAGCCTCCTGGTTAGCTGGAGTGTGGTTAACTGCAGTCTTGTGTTTCTCCGAGGTAGTAGCCTCCTGTTTAGCTGGAGTATGGTTAACTGCAGTCTTGTGTTTCTCCGAGGTAGTAGCCTCCTGGTTAGCTGGAGTGTGGTTAACTGCAGTCTTGTGTTTCTCCGAGGTAGTAGCCTCCTGCTTAGCTGGAGTGTGGTTAACTGCAGTCTTGTGTTTCTCCGAGGTAGTAGCCTCCTGTTTAGCTGGAGTATGGTTATAACTGCAGTCTTGTGTTTCTCCGAGGTAGTAGCCTCCTGGTTAGCTGGAGTATGATTATAACTGCAGTCTTGTGTTTCTCCGAGGTAGTAGCCTCCTGGTTAGCTGGAGTATGATTATAACTGCAGTCTTGTGTTTCTCCGAGGTAGTAGCCTCCTGCTTAGCTGGAGTGTGGTTAACTGCAGTCTTGTGTTTCTCCGAGGTAGAAGCCTCCTGTTTAGCTGGAGTATGGTTAACTGCAGTTACCATGGTAACTAATGTTGTTACCAGTCTTGTGTTTCTCCGAGGTAGTAGCCTCCTGTTTAGCTGGAGTGTGGTTAACTGCAGTCTTGTGTTTCTCCGAGGTAGTAGCCTCCTGTTTAGCTGGAGTGTGGTTAACTGCAGTCTTGTGTTTCTCCGAGGTAGTAGGTTAGCTGGAGTGTGGTTAACTGCAGTCTTGTGTTTCTCCGAGGTAGTAGCCTCCTGTTTAGCTGGAGTATGGTTAACTGCAGTCTTGTGTTTCTCCGAGGTAGTAGCCTCCTGGTTAGCTGGAGTGTGGTTAACTGCAGTCTTGTGTTTCTCCGAGGTAGTAGCCTCCTGCTTAGCTGGAGTGTGGTTAACTGCAGTCTTGTGTTTCTCCGAGGTAGTAGCCTCCTGTTTAGCTGGAGTATGGTTATAACTGCAGTCTTGTGTTTCTCCGAGGTAGTAGCCTCCTGGTTAGCTGGAGTATGATTATAACTGCAGTCTTGTGTTTCTCCGAGGTAGTAGCCTCCTGGTTAGCTGGAGTATGATTATAACTGCAGTCTTGTGTTTCTCCGAGGTAGTAGCCTCCTGGTTAGCTGGAGTATGATTATAACTGCAGTCTTGTGTTTCTCCGAGGTAGTAGCCTCCTGGTTAGCTGGAGTATGGTTAACTGCAGTCTTGTGTTTCTCCGAGGTAGTAGCCTCCTGGTTAGCTGGAGTATGATTATAACTGCAGTCTTGTGTTTCTCCGGGGTAGTAGCCTCCTGGTTAGCTGGAGTGTGGTTAACTGCAGTCTTGTGTTTCTCCGAGGTAGTAGCCTCCTGTTTAGCTGGAGTATGGTTAACTGCAGTCTTGTGTTTCTCCGAGGTAGTAGCCTCCTGTTTAGCTGGAGTATGGTTAACTGCAGTCTTGTGTTTCTCCGCGGTAGTAGCCTCCTGGTTAGCTGGAGTATGGTTAACTGCAGGCGATGTCTCTACCAGGGCTTCTGAAATGAGGTTCTGCGTCGCCGAAAGGGGTTGATCTGCAGCTTTCCGTTTCAGGGATACTAAGACTTCTTTTCGTTCAGAAGCTGCAAAATCTGCTTCGTGGGTCATGTGAGACGTGAGTTTTCTGACTCAATGTAAGAGTATTGTCTGAGAGGATGAGATAACACCGACAGGGACACTTCGTAGGAACAGTGTGCTTGGTGCAAAACATAGCCAATCCCTTCACTGCGTCGAATCTATAAGCATAAATAAAAACCTAGAGTCCCCATGGACTGGCCCATGTAAATGGTGAATGTTTGTGCACTCCACCATGTACTTTGTCCTTTCCTTAGGTTATATCTATAGTTTCTACAAAATGTCTGTGCTGCTTTAATAACCCTGTCATCGGGATCTGGAATCCCTATTGATATTAGCAGGTCCCTCCATTCCTGGCAGTTCCTTCTTTTTTTCTTGGAATTCTGACGATATGTTGAAGCAGGAACGTCTTCACTGACTCCGCAAAGTAAATTCTGCCATTACGTAGAGTGTAAAGGGACATGACTATTATGAATTACGTATTAAGGAAAAAGGCCGTATTTAGAAAGGATTCAAAGTTGTGAATAAACGGGATATCGGTAAATGAAATCTAAAAAACCCAATCAGAGGTGAGAGGTCACATTATATTATTATACTGCGAACGAATCAAAAACGGATAAATTATTAAATTACATTATTTTTTTTATAGCTTCATCATCTCATTGAGATTATTTCCATCCGATGTACTTGTAGGAAGCATGACGATGTTCTCACGAAGGAATTTCTTTACAGATTCTGCAAAGTAGATCCTTCCATTATGTAGCGTGTAAAGAGACATAACTATAGGAAATTATAATGAAAATATTGAAATTGTGAAACTACATTAGCGTATATAATAACAACTAACTAACTACTAAATAAAATATCACTAAAACTACTACACTAAAATATCACTAAATAATACCCGAACTAAAAGTCTTTACTTCCTAAAATATATAACTAAAAACTACTATACAAAATACACTTTCTTGGTTCTTCTACTTCTAGGTTACTCTTGTATCTTCGTTACTGCTTACAACTTACAACTTCTTACTACTTTTCTCTCCTTCACACACTCAACTACAATAATAAAAACACCGGTGTTCTCCCGAACTATCCACAAAGGACTTCTCAAGTACACCTACTACTTGTAGTGTATCTCTTATAACTGATAAGAAGATACTATGAGTTCGATAACTGTAAACAAGACGTTGTTGATATGACTATGAAAACGTAACAACTAACAGTAACACCATTCCGGCACAGGGCCGGTACACCACAGGTGTGCCAGAATTGATGGGAGCTTAATGAAGCTGTTCAGACTCTGTCTTTCTTCACCGCCTGTAAATTTCACCTCCAAAGTCGATAGTTTGGTGCAGTTTGCCACAAACAGCAATGTTTCGCGTAAGTTGTTGCTCGTAATCTTCAACACCGTAACCCGATCCAACGTCATTTGCCTCCATAGGCTGTTAACCCCCTGAAGGGGTAGAAGTTAAGGCCGTTACATAGGGATGAATGATATTTAACGTCTTAACTTGTATTAGTATTACTAAGTTACTATTAAATTATAAATCTATTGTTTTTAATTTAAAAATTATATTGTTTTACAACAATATAAATATTTTGTATATTCATCACCATTTGCCTCCATAGGCTGTTAACCCCCAGAAGGGGTAGAAGTTGCTCGTTGCATATATGATCGAAAACATGGAAGAGGGTGTCATAGTTGGAAAACATTTTAGAAAAGATTCAAAGTTGTGAATAAACGGGATATCGGTAAATCTGACGGAAGGTTCCAAGGTAGCCTGGCCACCAACTCTATAGAGATCAGGCGTCTCCCTACCAAGAATCGCCCTGTTGCTATGCTGTTGTTGCACAGCATGTTACTGTCTCCAGGTTTGGCAACTGTATAAGGTTTACAAAGTTTATAAAAGATAGATATATACTTCAGTAAAATAATGTCATTATCCCTGTAGCGGTGTGTCGTTTCTGCAAAGTCTTCACCGTTCCCAAACATATGGGGCATGTGTCATGATTCTCCCAAATCCTCCGCCGTATGCATTCATAGCAAAAAGCTATGACTGCACTCCTTGGAGAATGTGACCCCCTCTATTATGATATCATCTGAACAGATGATACAAATTATATTTAAGATAATAATAGCTATATTATATCAACGCGAACGAAGAAGGGGAAACGTGACAACCTTTACCAACTCCCAGCATCCAATGAGGTGATTTGCCGGCTCCTCGTTGCATGAGCACTCCTCCGTCTGAGCTTTGTACTTAAAGCACGTGTTGCAGCTGCTAAATGAGTATTCTCTAGCATTAATCAGCTTCTTGTAGAATTTAGAGAAATGTTCTACCTGAAGAAATGTTGATTGATTTGAAACTTTTACAAATAGTACATTATACAATACAGCAAAGAGAATTAAAAATATACGACATTATTATCATGAGGCATTATGTTGGGTAAAAGATGTAGTCCATATTGTATAAATACTAAAAGCATGGTTAAATGGTACAAGTTCTGGGGGTATACGTATTACAAGTAATAGTTCTACTCCCAGACTCACTAACACCACCTCCATCTAAACACACAAAATGTATCTAAAACACGCAAATTTAGAATTATCAAAATAGATAGTATAGTGTTACATAATGTATCCATGACTTGACTCATAATGCGCCAAAAATTGCGCGCGTATCATCACACAGCGCTTAGAAGCAAGATTACAGTCGGATATAAATGTCGCGTAATCAGTTAATTAGATTCACTGAGGACTGCACCAGGGTCAAATCATGGCAACAGAACGTAAATGTTATTTAATAGATTTATTTTTATATTATAGTTGTTATATTCAGTATCGTGACCGATCTATCAGTGGCGGGGGCCCACTTATAAATATCATTTGCACTCATTAACTTAGTCAGGGTCTGTCAATTTGTCCCAAAAGTGTTTTGCCAGGTTTGCCTTAAAAGTTCCAGCATCACTTATCTGTTTAAGGTCAGTTGGCAGGTCATTCCAGACACTGTGTGTTCTGAAGAAGAAGCTTCTCTTAAAGGAGTGAGCTTTTGCTTCCACAGTACACTTCAGGGAAAGGTGGTCGTGTCTGTTCTGTCGCCTTTGGTTGATATCAGGCATTTGAGATGTATCAACTTCATTATATCTCGAGGGTTGCCTTATAGTTATGTTTGAACGCAACCTACCCTGTTCACTGGTTGTTATCGGGGTTAAATAAGGTGGGAGCTTCAGAACAGATTGACCATTGTATATCTGATGGAATAATAGTAAGTCTGTGTATTCAAACTTCAGCTCCATTGGCAACATGTCTAGATCTCTTAAACGAGCCAAGTATTCTAAGTCATTATAGTGATGATCCTGTTCGCCAAGGATCCACTTAACTGCTCTGCGCTGAATGTTTTCAACTTTGTTATTCAAGACAACACTTGTTGGTCTCCAGACAACACTGCAATTTTCGAAAAGGCTCCTAACCAGCGCTAGATAGAATGCCCGTTTTTGTTTACGGTCGTTAATAAACCGTAATAAATTGTTTTTTAATAAAAGGTAAGATATAGAATAATTGTTATCATAATATTTTATCTAATGAGTAAGGAATCAAATAAAATTACCTTAACGTCCAGCTTCATATCTTCCTTGATTGTGTTGTATAGAGGATTATTACGACAATACCCCAAAGCTCTAGTGCTAACTAAATCTGGTAATATATATCTCTTGTTATCAATGGCGGAACGCGCACATTTATTCTGCTTTACAGTATACATTGTATGATTAAAACTTCTAAGGGTGGTTTGGTTAACACTTACTTCCTCCCCACCAAACATGAAAACACTTTTATATTTCTCATGTAATAAGTTACGTTCAGCTACTTTACGTTTAATCCCTGCTGCTGCCATCTTACCATCGCCCTCATGAACTTTACAGCTATATAATTCACTTATTAATCCTACAAACTCAGAGCCAAATTTACCCGCAAATTCATTTTTCATTAAGCCCGGTACTGTCTTGTTAGTTAAATCAAATAAAGGATGCTCAGTAGGAAAATTACTTGTGACAAAATGACTGGCCATATCTTGAAAGTCTTTATGCAGATCGGCAGTTTCAACCCAATATAGTAAACTATCTGTATCCGTAAAAAAATTTAATGCTACTATATTAGACCTTGAGGAGTTGAGGACATCATACCAGAACCTACACATTAACAATTTAAGTGCTGCTGTCGATGTTTGTACACGCCACCAGGGACAAAAGGATTTCGCGATTATTTTGGCCAAATTTCGCGGTACCGCGAAATTTAACAGGCTATACATTAAACTACACATAAAATTTGTCGCGGAGAATGGGAAATTTCGCGATTTCGTACATGCCGCGAAATCCTTTTGTCCCTGCACGCCACCAATTCTATAGAGATCAGGCGTCTCCACTACCCTGGGTGATTGATCCAGGGTAGTGGCCAACTGGTCTCCTTACATCTAAACCCTTAGTGGGCCGGTTCGGTTACATATATGAAATCTCCCATGAATGACAAATAAACCCAACGATCATCAACTTTACTCATATTACATAAATCAGAATACCCTTCAGCATCAAAATTAAGTCTAGGTAAGTGATAATTTAACTCCGTACACACTTCATCAATGCACCCCTTAAGTCCTTAACCAAATCTACGGCCTTTTTCCTTAATACGTAATTCTTATCCCCTAACATTGCCATTAAACTATTATGTGGATGCGCAAAATAACTGTTGATTTGAACATACTTAAAATAATATCCCTTTCAGACTTATTCTTAATAACCTCCTTAATAAAACTAATCTCCTTAAATAAATAAACGGAACCATACACAATAGAATCATAATAAACATTAAACATATGCATCGGAAAGTAGACATTTACAACATATCCTGCTAATTTCCTTAGCTTAGGCATAACATTTGACGGAACTCTTGTACAAAATCTTGCTTATAGTTATTGATCCTAATATTCTGGTCTTTGAACCATATTTTGCATTCTTGGAGTTAACTGAAACTCGGA